ATATATATATAATATATATGAATATATATTATATATGAATATATTATATATACATATCTATATTAGCAAGGCTAATATTTCCTTAGCTAATATTTCCATATATATATATGGAAAGAAGACAACCCTAAATGTTGGTGGTACCATTCCATGAGCTGAATGAAAAGGAGAAAAGGAAGCAGAGCCTTTGCTCTCATGTTTCTCTCTCTGCTTCCTGTCTATAGAGACAGTATAACTGGATGTTGCATGTTCCTGAATCTGTGACTTCCCCACCATGATAGACTGTAACTTGTAACTGTAAGGGAAAAATAAAACCTTCCTTCCTTAATTTTTTCAGATATTTTATCACAGCAATAAAAAAGTAGCTCACAGCCTAAGGTAGATGAGAGGGAAAAGCTGGACTAGAGGGGAATCAAGACACAGTATAGACAAAGAGTGTGGCCACATGAAAGGCCATAATTCAAAATCTTTGTAGACAGAAACAGTTAAATGACTAACTGGCACTTATTGCTTTATTCTAGTCTTTCTAACCTCTGCTCATATTTAACCAGGAAGCCATCACTGACAGAACAGAAATGCTCTAGCCTCAGTCCAAAGCCAGCAGGATTTTTGGGTATGTTTATTGTAATATTTATATAGAAATTCAAAGAACCTAGGTTAGTCATAACAAGTCTGAGAAAGAAGTTTGTTTACCTCTCATGACTTTAAAACTGTAGCATTATAGTAAAATAAAACATTGGTATTAACAATAGACAGATCATACAACTGTGAAATTCTAATGAGCAAGATTAGCTGTTTTGGGCAAAGATGTCAAAGCAATTTGGTAAAGAATAGTCTTCCACAAATAGTGCTTAGATGACTGGATACCCACATTGGCCTACCTACTAAAATTCTCCACACTTTTCACCACATACAAAAATTATCTTTCAGAATAAAGCAAGGAAGACAATTCTTGTGTTCTGAAATTAGACAAAAATTCCTTCTACATGTTAAGAAGATTCATAAAAGGAAACAGTTGGTTAATTGGACTTTTCCAGCACTAAAACTTTTGCTTACTTATATTTTTTATTCCTCAGAACTTCATACATGTATACAATCTATACGGTCATAACCATCCTCTGCTTGTATCTCCTACAAATTTCATATCTTCCTCCTCCTTCTCCCCTTCCTCTCTTCCTTTCCCTCCAACTCCTCTTCCTCCTTCTTCAAGTCCAGTTAGTATCAGCACTGTATGCATGGGTATAGTGCCATTCCCCAGAGTAAGGAAACCTACCAGTTGGAACTCCCTCAGATCTATTTTTTCTCCCCCAGCTATCAATGCCCAATAGCACCTCATTAAGGGGTGGGCCCAAAGCGCATCTCCATCACCTGTGTCAGAATTTTAGTTGACTTGATCTAGTTAAGTACTTGAACAGGTAGTCGTAGTTCCTGAGTTCCTGAGATGACAGTCATGCCATGCTGTGTCCAAAAGACAGTGTTTTCCTTCACTCCCCCATTTCCTACAGCTCTTACACTCTTTCTTCCTCTTATCTGGAGATGAGCCTTGGCTGGGGGTGGGGGGTAAGTTTAAAATGATCCATTCAGGGATGATCACTCAGTCTCTTATTTTCAACATGTTCACCAATTATGTGCCTTGGTACTGTTACCTAGTGGGGAGAAAAGAAGCTTTTCTGGTCAAGGTTGAGAACAGCCCAGATTTGTGAGTATAATTTGGTAGCATGAATACTTCTCAAAATAGCAAGAAGAGGGTCCACCCTAGGGCTTATGACCTTCTTAACCATGAACTTTTGACTAGGATTATAGTAGCAGGCATGAAATTCCCTTCTGTGGAGCAGATCTCAAGTCTAATCAGTTAGTTACCTCATAACAGATGTGACACTACTTACTGCACCAGTGGCACATCCTGCCAGGCCGAGATGTATTGTAATATGCAGTGTCCAGTTCTAGGTAAGATCATCGATATCCTTCCTCCCTCAGCAAATTTCATAGCATCTTCTGGTACTATGAAAGTGAGGCAGAAGGTAACATTTCATCATCAATTTGAGATTGATTCTCTATCCTTCTACCTCTAGCAACAGTGTCTTACCATATAGTAATGGTGGGTAAGCAAGGCCAATGATGATAGCCTGTATTGTTTTGAACCTCTGGGTGTATTCCATGCCTTATGCTGCAATTTTCATTTAACAACTCATGTATTCTGTGACTGATGTTGTCAGTCCATTTTTGGTAGTTATGTCCAAACTTTTCAAAATAAAGAATTCTTGCTTTTTGGTAAAAAAAAATTTATTAGGGTGAAAAGGTAAGTTATACCCTGGAGAAAATATATCCAAGTTACTTACTTATAAAAGGCATTTAAACTCATTAATAAGCCATATAAATGGTTAAAAAAATTATGTGTAATTCACCAAAGATGGAGACAAATGAGAAAAATGAAAGATTTTATGTCATCTATCATGAAGAAAATGAAAATTAAAGCCAACATCCATGTTAGGTCATAACTTCAAAAGACTTGAAAATCTGGGTGTATGAAATATTATCAAGATATGTAACAATCAGAATCATGCTAACAAAATGTAAAGTATACAGCCACACTGGAAACAGTTGGTCAGTTTTCCCCAAAGTAGAACACAACAGGCATTTTGGCTTTCAGCCTCCACTACAGAGATGAGCCCTGTGCCCACACACAGATTGCCCTGGTCCGTAAGAGCTTTGTAACAGCCAAACACTGGAAAGGAGCCAAATGCCCATCAACCAGGATACATATCTGTGCTGACGAATTTTCTAATATGGAGTAATGATTTGGAAATGAACCTCTGATACATGCAATAGCATTCTTGAATATTAGAAAACTTGTGAGAAATGGCAGAAGCTGGGCATAGAGGCTTAGCCTGGAGGGGAGTCTGTGTGTGTGAGAGCTGGGCCAGGAGGGATGTTGTGTGTGTCACAGAGTGGCACTTGAGATTTAGAGTGAGGAATGGAATCTCCTCAGCTGTGGCCAGCCTATTCATCCTCATGGCCTGGCAGCCTCATCTCCCAGGTCAGGCAGTGAAGGGCTTTCCTCTGCTGTTCCTCCACAACACCAGATCCTATGGTCAGCTCTACCAAGGTCTTCTCCCATTCTCTTCATCCTGCGCATGGTGGCAAGCCCTTAAACCCACTGTCCCACTGTCTCCTTCCCTGCAAGAAGCTACCCTGCATATTAAACTATGAATGGAAGCAGTGCTTTCACTAATATGGTAAACAAACTGGACTAAATGGACTTTTAGGGTTTTAATTCTGTTGAACCCTGCAATAGGGGAAACTTGGAGCACCAAAACTTTTGTTAGTATACAGAATAACTAATATTATTAATTTATAGGATTTTATTTTGCTATTAACCCCATGATGTTTTCTCCCTTCCATCCCCCCTTTTTGGTCCCCTTTAATTCAAATGTTCACCTACAACTTTCAAGCTATGATGAACATATGCACACAGATGAACTTATGTTCATCTGAGGCTGGCTTATTTCACATCTATGCATTTTCACTTGTATTTCATCCTTTTGCTCCTTTTTAAAACATAATTAAGCTTGCTTGTACATATTTATGTTTTCTTCATAGAGAGTCATATTCACCCAGCTCATATTCTCAGAACCTCCTGATCCAAACACTGTCAGCCTCTTGTCAAATTACTGAAATGTCTGTCCTTTGTGTTTTGAAGATTTACACAGTTTGCACAAACTAAATGGTCAACATTTTGTCCCTTGTGGGTGCATTATCAATAAATGTGCTTAATTTTTGAAAGCCCAAGGAATTTCACTTGTGCATATCATAGATATAAAAGTACATGTTGTGATTTGAGCTTTTTCACATGTTTGTGAGGTTGAGGAAGTATAGTTTGAAGGAATGATTTTTCTTAATTTATGAAAAACCTTTAAAAAATTCAAACTCGAAAAGACAGAACAATGCTGTTGGAAAAGGAGAGGCATGAGGAAGCAATTGCAAAGGGAAGGATCTAGTAAAGTGTAGTACTCCCAAAGCAGTGAAGACGGAAGTTAATGAGTATGTGATGGGTGATTTTTTTATCCTACTTGCTCACCTTGGTGAATGAGGATGTGTGAGAGAGCAAATTGCTTTAATGCAGTCACTTTTGGATCGAGGTAGCCTCAGGAAGTGTGAGAAGAACCAGCCTGTGTCAGAGCCTTGGTTTCATACTTTAAATGAATCATCCCTTTTATGCTGTGAAGCCCTTTGAAGTATGAATAGAGCCTGGAGATGAATAGCAGCGAGGCTCTGCCCCAGAGCCAGCATTACACCAGTGCCCTCACCTGCTGTCTCCAGCCTGCACTTTGCTGAGTACTCTGATACTACCAACGTGTGATGGGGCACTGCAGTCATCTCAAGGGCATTATGGGGATTTGTTTGGTCTAAAATGTTCTACTTAAGCACTCCAGAGAACTGGGATTTGGAAGTGATCCACCATCCCTTTACCTAGGACTTAAGGGATCTCCCAGATGCAGCACTTTAAAAGCAAGCCTGAAACCAGAATTACAGCTCAGTGATAGAATTTGCTTAGCTTGCATAAGGCACTGAGTTCAAGCCACGGTGGCAAAACACTAGCCTACCAACCAAAACCCTGGAAGTGTCAGTCTTACCCTGTTTTCAGCAGAGACCTTAGGCCTTGGGATGAATATTTTCTGTCTCTACGGCCCTTAGAATGTGCCCAGCTTACACTGTTAGGCTGGACTGGTGAGACAGCTTCACATTCAAATGAAAGGAGACAATGTTTTTTAATGCTCTTTTATTTCTGTGCTATCTAAATGTCAGTATCACTAGGCAAAATGTTTCCAGCCCTTTCTACTTTCCACTTCCAGTTGCAAATAGTAGCCTATGTTTGGGTGGAAATGGTAGTCTAGGATTGAATAGTCTTGTTGGTTAGCGTGGAAGCAGCATCCTTAAAATAGTTTTAGCCTGACTTGTAGTAATTCCACACCCTTTGAAGAAGGGCATGGTGTCAGGACAGTCTACTTGCTTGACTTCTTCTGAGAGGACTGTGCTTGAGAGCCCTTTTCCTGAGTTTGGCCAGTTGTGGAATCAGGATCTGACTCACTCTTAATCTCCGCAGAGCAGCAGTAGGGTTGACAACAGCAAGGGGACTGCATACAGCAAGGGGCCTGCGGACAGCAGGGAGACTGTGGACAGCAAGGGGGAGACTGTGGGCAGCATGAGCACTTTTTCGGGCAGCATGAGCATTTCAGCGGGCAGCATGGTTTCGGTGTACAGCAGGGTTTTGGCATGCAGCATGGGGATTTAGGCGGACAGCAGGGGGACTTGGGGCAGCAAGGTTTCAGTGGGCAGCATGGTTTGGGTGGGCAGCATGGTTTGGGTGGGCAGCATGGAGGACTTGGGGGGCAGCATGGAGGACTTGGAAGGCAGCACGGAGGACTTGGAGGGCAGCACGGGATTTTTGGCAGCATGGAGGACTTGGAAGGCAGCACGGAGGACTTGGAGGGCAGCACGGAGGACTTGGAGGGCAGCACGGGATTTTTGATGGATCACTCATCTTTACTGTTGAAGTTCCTAGAAAAAAAGAAGACAAGTGGCTGTCTGGAGGCCTGCTTTCATCATTACTTTCTTTTATTACCTTCCTCCAATGTACCTGAACCCTCAGGGGGAAAACTAAGACCTTTGTAAGCAGGGCTGGACCTCTCAGAAGCCACTGATGTTCCCCATGTATCTGTTCCTATCTAGGTAGCCATTTTCCAGGAAAGGCATGTGAAGTTACAGATATGTAATACATTCGTCTCTTGGTGAAAAGCAGAGACTCATAGGCTGACCTTGAGTCATATCATAAGCTTTATCTCATCCAATGATGAGTACCAGCACAAAAGGTGAGCATTTTCATATACCACTTTAAATATGAAGACAAATGAAATTCAGACATCTTAGTAGTTTGTAAATGGATTCAAAATGGGTTCCATCTTACCCAAGATCATGTGTATATTGGGGTCTAAATGGTTTCCAGGAACCTGGGTACATTAGAATTATCAGATCCATCCACCCTCACTCACTTTCTGAACGTACTGGGCTATTCTATGCACCTTGAAACTCAGGCCAATGGCTAATGGCAGCAAGAATACACAGATAAGGCACCGTCCCATGCATTTCATGGGTACAGTATGAACCACAAGCTGAGGCAGCTCCATTCACACCTCCAGGCTATTATTTCTTCTCTAAGGTAGCAACATCGTGGATAAGGAGGTAACTAGACCTTGGAGAGGCCCTCAAACTCAACCATTCAAAATATTTGCAATGTTCTTATTCTTTGGTGAATAGTAAAATCCCAAACAACTCTTTCAGTTAACTGACAGGCCTCCTGCCTAGAATGGTCAAGCAGGTTTGCCAGGAAGATCCTTAAGTTTACTTCCTCTATGTGAGCCGTATACATTTCCTGTGCCTCCTACGGAACATTAGCCAAGGCCGGTGTCATGTCTCTAGTACAAGACCGGTCAGAAAGTGACCAAGAATCACAGGCAGAGAACAGGGCTATCATGTAACTGTGCAAGAGATGTCTAAGGAGGCAGGATGGACTTGTACACCCTTGGCATATGCTCAGTTCACAAGACCACACATCCATGTTGGGTAAATGTCAGGCCTATCAGAGCCCTGTCACCCAGGTGGAGGAAGATGGGTGTGGGAGTTGGAGCAGTGGCTGCCTAGGTGAAGTTTCAGTCACCCTCCCAACCTGTGGCACCCAGAGATTTTTAAGAACACCCTCTGACACAAACAAGCTTTTAAAATGCAGCCAGATATTGTGTGTTTGTATATAAGCATGTTTGTGTGTGTGTGTGTGTGTGTGTGTGTGTGTGTGTGTGTGCATGTTCTTTTATCGAAGTAATATAAAGAATGAAGTTGTGTGTGTGTGTGTGTGTGTGTGTGTGTGTGTGTGTGTGTGCGCATGTTCTTTTATCGAAGTAATATAAAGAATGAAGTTTTTTGAGATTTGTGACAGGGCCTGCCAGCTGGATCAAGTTGAGATTAATTACTGTTTCTCATTAGGATTTGCAGTTGGGACCTGGGTGGAGACCTCTTCTAATGGTGCCTGCTCTGCTGAAGCCTTCATCTTCTGTAGTGGACTCTTACACACTTGCATCCCATCCTTGCCTTTCCTCAAGTACTCGGACTATCTTCTTGTTCTGTTGTACTGAAAATTCAGGGGCTCCTGGGGACAGAAGCTACAAAATTTCCATGCCAGAGATTATCTTTCCACTAGTTAGAAAGCCCCAGCAGTGGACAGAGTTCTTGAGTTAGGTGACCTACATTGCCATGAGAACCACTCTTTATGACTTCATAGCAGACACAGGGCCTTGGCTTTCCTAGGGGATGGGTGTTGGGCTCTAGACTCATTCCTTTTCCATCTGGGGACTGGACATAAATCCAGTTTACACTAGACAAACTGGGTCCCAATGAGTCTGGGTGTGGCTGTTGCCTCCACCCTGTGGAGATAATGAGTTTTTGGCTGACAAGCTGTTGCCCAGCCTCACCTGGTCTCACTCTGCAGCTTTCACTATGGGAGGAAGACCCCTGGTATGTGCTTAGGAGCTACTATATACTACTGGATGAAGACATCGGGAATCAGAGAGATGCTCTGAATCTCCTGGACCACAGTAGCAGCAGGGAGAAAATGTGGAAGAATATTAACTCATCACTCCCACTACTGGATTTTAGTCCTTCACATCCTCAATGCTAAAGCTAAACTGTCAGGGGCTATCTCCATTTGGAATGGGGTGTGGCCTTGGGGGGCTAGGTCTTT